TATATATATATGTGTGTGTGTGTGTGTGTGTGTGTGTGTGTGTGTGTGTTTGTGTGTGTGTGTGTGAGTATATATATATATATATACACACACACACACACACAATATATATATATATATATATATATTACCATGCTAAAAACCAGCATAACAGATGCTTACATATATTTACAAAATATTCTATTAATTTAATTTACATAAACACTATCCTATAAGACAAAAGACTACAGTTATTAATGCTTAAGGAAGCAACAGTAATATTAAGAGCCAGGGGTTGATACTTTGTGTAAATTTACTTACTTTGTCTTGTGTACTATATGCTAAACTATTTAAAAGGTTGGAGTTAGCACGTTTTTTTATGTTTTTGCAATTAATTAATTACAATTAATTAATTGTAAAACCGTAATATTGTGAAATATTACAACAATTTAAAATAACAGTTTTCTGTTTTAATATATTTTAAAATGTCATTTATTTCTGTGATGGAAAGCTGAGTTTTCAGCAGCCATTACTCAAGTATTCAGTGTCATGTGATTCTTCAGAAATCATTATTTCGAATTCTTATTCCATTATACTGATTTTTTGCTCAAGAAATATTTCTTATTATTAATGTTGAAAACAGTTGTGTTGCTTTTCAGGCTTCTGTGATGAATAGAAAATTTAAAGGGGTCATATGATGCGATTGAAATTTTCCTTTCACTTTGGAGTGTTACAAGCTCTTGGTGCATAAAGAAGATCTGTAAAGTTGCAAAAAGACTAAAGTCTCAAATCCAAAGAGATATCCTTTATAAAAGTTAAGAGTCAACCACGCCTACCTAAAACGGCTCGTTCTAACACGCCCCCACATGTCTACATCATGATGTGGGAAGATTTGCATAACGCCGCTTAAATGTTCACGCAAAGAAAGAAGGCGTAACTTTTATTCTCGATGTAGTATTGTTGTTGCGTGCTGCCATGTCGTGAAGGCGCTGTGTGTTTTGTTGTGAAAGCAAAACTACTTTGTTTGGCCTTCCAAAAGAGGACGATATATGCTCCGTCATGCCTGGAGCTGATCCGTGCTGGTTGCTGAGGGAATACATCAACTTTGCGCTGTGGATCACCGGATCGGCTTTCACCATGGACGAAGCGGAGTCCAGCCCGGAGTCGTCACATGTGGTTGCCGTAAGCCTGCCCGCTGCCGCTCACTTAAACCTTTAACGCATACGATCACACCGGTGTGATCAGTCTTGGCTGGTCCCTGAAGCGTACGATCACACCGGTGTGATTAGAACTTTCAGTGCATCACGTCATCAACTGCTGAATTTAAATCCACTTTAGCGTTTTGCCTGGCGCAGAGCCAGATCGGACGCGCTGAGTGCCTGTCATATTATCACAAATATTCAGTGTTTTCAACCATATAATGCTTATTTTAGGTTTCAGACATTTAAATACACATAAGTACTAGCAAAACCATACATTTACAGTTTGCAAAATACACGCTGATGTCTATGGAAATGGCAACAATGATCCTTACTAATATAATCTGACGACATGTTTTTATTGATATCATATACAGATTGTGTAGGTAACTATAAAGTTTACTCCGCTCTTCTCCCAGTTTACCGGAGACCTACTTTAACGTGTTTCGGGAGGAGATGAATTTGCGTGTTGTAAATGCCAATTACCCGGTATAGAACAACTAACACGGTCGATATAAAAGTGTTTAAACTACCAAATAGATTTACTTGCACATATTTCAGAATCGGAATATCAGATATTTCATAATATAGTGAGCATGTTTGTGAATATTTAGAATAAAATAGGAAAAACTAAATAAAAGCGATCCATGTGTCACACAGATCTATTGTGGCTCACTTTAGACATTCTACTAACTATAAGTAACTTTGTAACTACATGTCACTTAATTCTCATTAATTTGCATCTACATGTCTACTAACTCTCAGAGTAGACAGGGTAGGTTTAGGGTTAGAATACGTTGAAAGTGTTAGAAGATATTAAGCAGACAGTCTACTAATACACTACTAACTGCTAGTTGACATGTAGTTGCAAAGTTACTTACTGTTAATAAAATGTCTAAAGTGGACTATCGAAATAAAGTGTTACCCATTCTGATTCCGAAAAGTGCTCCAATCCAGAAAAACAATCTCAAGATTAAGTGATTGTAAAACAAACAAACAAACAAAAAATTACTCTTTTGTGCACCATCCAGCACTTCACTCTCAAGTCTACAAGATGGTAGACACAGACCTTTTACTTTGGTCTGCTATCCACCATTAAAATGGCAAAAAAAGAATAAAGAAGAATTTCAATTTATTTAAGTGATGGTGAAAATAAGCTGTGTCCCAAATCAAAGACTGCAAAAAGTTATAACGTTTGGCAGTCTATAGTACTCCATATGTTTTTCCCGGTCCGACCGATTAGTACAGCCCAAAACATGACAATAATTTACCCTTTTCAGCAGTAATAATCAGCCAGATTTGCAAGTTACGTTCGGTTCAACGGCATTGTATACGTCCAGTGCCACCAATATGGCCGACTTTAGAATTGATGACGTGTGGTGAAAATTAAACCTTTAAACCTTTAACGCATACGATCACACCGGTGTGATCAGTCTTGGCTGGTCCCTGAAGCGTACGATCACACCTAGAACTTTCGAACTTTCAGTGCGTCACGTCACCAACTGCTGAATTTAAATCCGCTTTCGCACTCCGGGCTGGCGCGGAGCCAGATCGGAAACGCTGAGCGCTTGTCATATTATCACAAATATTCATTGTTTTCAACCATATAATACTTATTTTAGGTTTCAGACATTTAAATACACATAAGTACTAGCAAAACCATACATTTACAGTTTGTAAAATGCACGCTGATGTCTATGGAAACGACAATAATGATCCTTACAAATATAATCTGACGACATGTTTTTATTGATATCATATACAGATTGTGTAGGTAACTATAAAGTTTACTCTGCTCTTCTCCCATTTTACTGGAGACCTACTTTAACAAGTTTCGGAAGTAGAGGATGAATTTGCGTGTTGTAAATCCCACAGCTCGGATTCAGCGCAAACTAACATGGCGGCGCCAATTACCCGGTATAGAACAACTAACACGGTCGATATAAAAGTGTTTAAACTACCAAATAGATTTACTTGCACATATTTCAGAATCGGAATATCAGATATTTCATAATATAGTGAGCATGTTTGTGAATATTTAGAATAAAATAGGAAAAACTAAATAAAAGCGATCCATGTGTCACACAGATCTATTGTGGCTGCGTTGTGTCACATGACAAGCATGATGTGTCGCCAGGGAAAAAAAAGGCGATACATTCTAAAATGACGGTCGCCAAAAAAAAAAACTCACGCTGGGGACTCAGCTAGAATATTTTAAACTCACGTGCGAAAGGGTTAAGCCGGCCCTTCGCTCACTCTAGGCCTCCGGCCTCCGCTCACTCTAGCCTGTCGTGTGTGAAATAATGTTCTTTTTAGCAACATCATATGACCCCTTAAAAGAACAGCATGTCTTTGAAATAGAAATCTCTTGTAACCTTATAAATTATTTTACTGTCCCTTTTAAGCAGTATCATGTGTCCTTGCTGAATTAAAGTATTAATTTTTCAATACCAACAACAAAAATATTGTTGACTCCAAACTTTTAAACTGTAAATTAAACTTTTAAACTGTCAATTAAACTTTTAAACTGTAAATTTCTGTGGCAATAGCTTCATTCATTTACACAATTTTTATGATCCCTCTTACTTGAAAAAAATTATAAACATCATGCAGATTCTGCGAGGGATAAACTTATAAGCAGAACTATATAAACCACAGTGTTTGTCTTTGTGTCTTGCCTAGTTTACACTTCTGGTTATATTGGGACAAAGATGTGATTATAGTCTGTGGTGTCATGCCGATTCTGGAAGTCCCTGACATCAGGTTGAGGGGAAAGGGCTTAAATAAATATTTGTTCAGAGTTAAGGGGTCAGTCTCATGCGTGGGCATTGCAGTGCCTCTTATGGTGTGAGAGGCAGTGTGCCCACAGCGACATGATCACTGTGAGAAAAACCAGCATGCCATCGCTTGCCAACAGTGCCTGGCACCTTTGTGAAGTGTTATATATATATATATATATATATATATATATATATATATATATATATAACTCATTCTGTAAGTTAGTGCTACTAGCGCTTAATATGTCAGAAGAAAGTATTATTCATAAAGCCTGTGCTTTGCTGCACATAGAGTTAAGACAGCTTATTTAATTTCGTCTTTGCTTCTGATAAATTTCATAATTAAATTTGAGACATCATAAGATTTCATTGTTTAGTCAACTGCTCACTGCACTTTTCTTTAAGTAGTTTTTAGAGCTGGATATGCACAGGAAATTTATCATGTTAAATACAAGTACATTTTGGTTCAATTTAACATAAAAATTACAATGGAATATAAACTTCCAGGTTCATATTTCCCAAAATCAAAAGAAAATAATTTTTTAAAAATTATATTTTGCATACAGAAAAAAAATTTAAGGTAGTTAAAAGTACAAAATGCATTAAAGTTAGTACAATAAAATAGGCTTCTTTATATACAGTCCAGTTATTTCATTAGTTCCCACTTTTTATTGTCTTTGGATTAGCTCTCACTATAAATACTAAATGTAGATCAGATATTTTTATTATTTTACATCTGCTCAAAAAGTAGGAGGGCCTCTATGCAAAGTTTGCAAACTGTCTGTCCATATTTGGTCATTCTGCAGGAGATTAGCAAGACCGGTACAGCAAAACAGGGTTTGGTACAAGATGGGTGTGAGGGCACAGGCAGGCACAGACCCACACACACATACACTTTAAAGGTAACTCTCTAGTGTGGCCGCAGTTAGTGCTTCATTAAACATTTGAGATTTAATGGATATTCGAGTGACAACATCCTGTAAATAGCATTAAATCGAAAGCCCTTTCCAAGTATACCCTTAACTGGTGCTGAAGAAAGCAACTAAAACAGGCACGTGGAGACCCTAAGAAAAGATTAATGAGTGTGAAAAGACACATAACACACTTTCAGTCTTTTTACAACTTTTAAGCTGTAAGATAAATTGTATCAATTTCATTTAGAATTAACTACTTATTTTAGAGATAAACAAGATGCTTTATAAAATGACTGGAATTTAGAGTGATTTATTTAAGGGGAGATTAAAGTGGCTGGACTGGCATTTACGGAAATGAGGCAGTGCTCACTGATGTTATTTTGGGAAGCAACACTGGACAGTGTCAGAGGTGTAAAGAGTACCTAAAAACCATACTTGAGTAAAAGTACAGATACCTTACAGTGAAAATTACTCCACTACACGTCACAAGTCACCAATTCCAAAACAACTTGAGTAAAAGTCTTACAGTATTTTACTTAAGTAATTTTAACAGTACTTAAGTATGTTACTTATACTAAATATAGGCTCAAAGATGCACTAGTCAAAGAGACACGCCAGTCAAAAACTAACGTTGAGGAGAAGCTGCAGAAAACAGGCAGAGGCAAGGATCTATGTACTGGTATTTAATAGAAAAACTAGAACAAACAATAAGCCAAAAACCAAAGGGAACAAAGAACAGAATGACTGGCAAACAGACAACCATCACATTCAACAACTCACAAGGAACTAAAGAACAACTAGGGCTATATATACACATGGGGCTAACAAGCTGAACAAGATAAGACACACCTGGGGAGACTAATCAAGGGGAACCAATGAACAAACGGACTACAAACTGACTACAAACACCACGGGAGACAGGAAGTGACATAAAAGTCCAGGGCAAGGCACAGAGAGCATGAAACAAAAACAAGAAGGAGTTGATTTGTCAGGAGAGCAATCACACTTATTTTCTAAAACCAAAATAAAACGGAACACCTCAAAATTGCAAAAACAAAAAAGGTCTCTTCAGTATAATGGATAAATAAAATAATGTTAAGTAAAATTAAAAAGCCAAAGCCTTCTTGCAGTGGATGTGCTGGTTTGGGCCTCATTGCCGGCTGCAGTCATGTCCTCATCTCATATATAAAACAGCTGTGATTCACAAATACTTGCTAAGGAACTGGCATTCACATAAAGTAGCCTTGTTGACAAGTTTGGGTGAGTAAGGGCAAAACGCAGAAGATGCAGTACTTTCAGTGACCTGTAACAGGCAGTATCACGTCTTTTGTAGCAGAAATAAACTGCTGCAGAAAAAGCTAGGTACATGCTAAATGTAATGTGTAACTGTTATGTGATGTGTTTACAATTATTCTAAAAGCTGATTGGCTTGGATGGTTACCTCTCACGTGATTGATTATGTAGAGACTTTTTTTACATTTATTGAATAACAAATATATGAACAAAATAACCATGTATAAACCTTTTTTAACAAAGAAAAATAAATAAATACATTTCCTAGAGGGAATAAACAGTTTTTCACAAAACTTTTTTCAGTGGTATTTGCATTGCTATTTTTCAGTGGTATGCATTTCATTGGTATTGAAAAAATGTCTCAATGCCAATCTCTTTTTTTCTTTTTTGCTCCCTCTGCATCAATAGTGTTGGCGTGGAGTGATGGGGGACTGGAGTCTCTTGGGTAATTTTCTGGAGGAGGTGCAGGAGCACTCCACAATAGTGGGGAAGGTGTGGTTGACCGTGCTGTTCATCTTCCGTATCCTGGTGCTGGGCACGGCGGCGGAGTCATCGTGGGGCGACGAGCAGTCCGACTTCATGTGTGACACACTACAACCCGGTTGCACCAACGTCTGTTATGACCGAGCTTTCCCCATTGCCCATATCCGCTACTGGGTGCTGCAGATTGTCTTCGTATCAACACCATCGCTCATCTACATGGGCCATGCCATGCACACTGTCCGCATGGAGGAGAAGCGGAAATGGAAGGAGCAGGAGGAGAAGGGTGAGGAGGGCAAAGGAGAGCAGGAGTATTTGGAACAGAAAGAGAAATTAAAATATCCAAAGACAAATATCCGCCTAAAGGGGGCACTGCTGCAGACATACGTCCTGAGTATTGTGATCCGCTTGGTCATGGAAGTGACCTTCGTTGTTATCCAGTACATGTTGTATGGAATCTTCCTGAATGCTCTGTATCCTTGTAACATGTCACCTTGTCCCAACCGTGTGAATTGTTACATGTCCCGTCCAACTGAGAAAAACGTCTTCATTGTGTTTATGCTGGCAGTGGCAGCTGTTTCACTGCTCCTCAGTGTGTTAGAACTGTACCACCTTGGATGGAAACAGTGCAAGCAAAGCCTTCGAAAATACGCTGACAAAAATGCCAGTGATGTCAAAAGCAAAACCGTTAAAGTTGTTTCTGTAGCCCAGCCTGGCAAGACGAGTATTCCAATGGAACTGCGTGAAACAGCACATCCCTCCCAAACCTGCACCCCACCCCCAGATTTCAACCAGTGCCTAGCATCAAGCCAAGGTCCAACATCACCCCCGCATCTGCATCACCACCATCTTCATCACATCCACCAAACCTGCCAGCCCTTCACCAACCGCCTGGCCCACCAGCAGAACTCTGTCAACATGGCCACTGAGCGGCATCACCACAGCCACGATGATCTGGAGCCGCCTGTGGACTTCCTGCAGATGAGCTACGAGAGTCCTGAGACTCGAGTCCCAGGTGAGATGACACCCAGCGCCCCCTCCACGCCATCCCCCCAACCAGGCTACTTCAGAGACAAGCGCCGGCTTAGCAAGACCAGTGGTACTAGTAGTAACCGAGACAGACCAGGTGATCTGGCCGTGTAGGTTGGATTAAAGGACCACCTCGGAGGAAAAGAAGCTGGGAGTGTGAACTAGCCTTAAGATGTGAGATATGGATGCAAGGGGTGTGCATGCTTGTGAGTGTATGAGTATACTTGTGTGTTGGAGTGAATCTGTATCAATCTGGTTTCATTGAAACTGTTGTAAGTGCATGTATATTTTTATAGGGTGGATCAGATAATCCTGAATAAAAGGGTGTTGATATATTTAGTGAATGGAAGATGAAAGGACTACTGAAATAACGTTGTGGCATTTACAAGATAGTACTGGATAGTTTTGCACACTGATAAGGTTCATATTTTAAGAAAAATAGTTTTGATTTAGGTTTTTGTGTTCTGTAATTCAAAACACTCCAATCAAACACTTTATTTGAGCCAAAAAGCAATAAAGCACTTAAACATATCTTAATAGAGATCATTGCAAAACAATTCATTGTAAATAAAGAAATAAAAAGAAAAAAAACATATCATGTATTATGTATTGTGTGTGATGATTTTACTAAGATTTATTAAATTTATTAGCAATAAATGACTACAGAAAAGTTTATGTGAAATAAATAACATTAAATTCTATGAGGTGATTTAAGATATTCCTTATATTATGATCAATTTACCAGGAATGCAAATATGTGTGAATTATTAAGACAGAAGAGTTATTGGTTACAGTGAGGCTATACTTAAATGAGATAGTTTTCCAAACAGAGGAACTCTCAAATAATTTTCGGCATTTTGGCATTAAGGCAAAAAATAATAATTGGCCTATTGAAAAAAAAAAACATATGTATGCCTATTGAAAGTGCCTTGAAAAGAGTAGATCAAAAAGAAAAGATGGCAAGAGCAAACAGCTTATAATAAAATATTTATCTTTTGATATAACGTTCATGATTGCATTAATAGTCTGAAAACAATAATTTTTATTAATGGAAAGCAGGGTTTGTATTTATCAAAGCACTTTCACTGATGTCTGCAATATGTATGTGATGTGACTTATTCCATTGTCAGCTAATCTCATAAAATATCAATGAAATTATCTGTCAGAGTGTTCCAGTATTCAGGAAAATGATTTACTGTCACTGTGTTACCTTTCAAAACGTTGTTTAGTCTTTTGATGTAGTCATCTCGATTTATTTATATGTAATATTTAATATTGCATTAGGTATGGAGTTTTTACAATTAAAAACAATATGACAAGATTAGAGTTGGTCTAGGTAAACTTTCTTTCACAGTTAATGACATCTGAGCTTTATTTCACTTCATTTCTCACATTTGACTGCGGTCACATGGTGTCTCATTTCCTCTGATCTGTTTACAGCACACAATAAAAATATCCCAGCAGTAATAAAACATGCGTGATAGAGTTTTTATTTTTTCTGCACGTTATAAAATTACAAGCCAGGATTATTACACATTCATATGCTACATTACAACGGATAGTATAGTGGAACTTTAATGAGTGGAAGCTCTCACACCGTCACCTAATAGGTTGTTTACTAATAGGTTGAAAAGAGTCGATTCCTCGAATCTGAATAGCCCTAAAGTCGGGGTCGACTGCAGCACTCTTGCTGTCGACTCTGTTGCAGTGCCAGAAATCGCTCACTTGTTCGCTGATTCTCTAATAGTGCATGGAAGTTGCAATATATCAACAAGGAGTGAACAAAATAAAGCTGGAGCTGTAACAACTGTCACATAGGCTACTTTTATCCTAGTGCACTTAGCTTACTTTAAAAATAAATAACAGTAACAGTTTGAAATTTGGCCTATACCTCCGTGACAGCTTTGTAGTTTAACTGATGTTATATTAATGCAATGATTTATAGTGATATTATATTAATATAAAAGCCTATACATTTGATTTTCCCTGGTTAACCTATTTATTATTTATTTATTTTTTATTATAACTAAGGTTATAGCCTACAAAACCAGTTCCAAAGTAAGTACAATTGAAAATTCATTTACAGGTTACAAAATCAAGAAAATATCATAAAAATTACACAGTGAGACAGTTTTAAGGGCTTTGGAGTGTCCAGGCACGATTTAAGTTCCTTACAAAAACAAAAAAAAAAACAAATAGGCCTCAGCACCCTGACATATACATTAGTGTAAAAAAATAATAATTTGTTAGAAAAATTATGTGTTAAAAATAAAAGTGATATTGGTCCGGTCCTTAACTTTGTCAAAATTGTGATGACCAAATAAAACACTTTTGTATAATAAAGAAAAACAAAGAGAAATTCTTCCAGAACAAAATTGTGTGTGTGCACTCTCAGAAGAGATGAGAATTGTTAACCTATTTGCGTTCAATAATTAAACTAACCATAAATCATTAAAAACTCACATCAAGAATAAACAAATCGATAAGTGTAGCCTACATTATTGTATGTAATTCTGTAAGTATACTGTATTTATTTGTAATATCTTAACGGTCCTGTTCAAGGACCTTTTTAAGACAATGATAATGATCATGTGCGTTGCGCCATCAGCCGACCATTATAATGAGATACATTCATTAAAGAATATTTTCTTTCTCGTGTATTCAATTCTAACAAAATATTCGACCACGGCTGTTTAATTTTCCCCTCTGTATCGCTTAATTGTTTTTGATTTTTTTTTTTTTTATATATATATATAACAACTCTTTTACAAGCCTGCTCGTTTTACGACCTTTTTTTATTTTGCTTTTCCATGAAAAGTTGTGCAATAGCTCATTATTGCCTCTCTGCGGCCTAGATGCGAATGACATTTCACTCACCTAGAACTAAACATATAATTGTTATCATTCCGAAGGACCACAAAAGACGTAAAAATGTTTTGTTTCCACTTATGCATAAGCCCCGGTGACGTCACAAATAGAATTATGTGACGCGCGTGTGAGATTATAAAAAATACTCAAATCTCACTTGCTCATTTTTTAGGTTTGAAGTAGTCGGATAGCAAAGTACAATGTTAACTGTACTACAGTATTATAGGTACAGCTGTGCAATCATGGGTCTACTAAGGAAACGATTGTGTTTTTCAAGATACCAAGTAAAACGTGCTAAATGAAGAAACCTTCAAATATGGGTTTTATTCATCATAATATTAGTTTTTATCTGCATTTTAGGTCTTCCAGAGGTGCAAGAAGTCCTCCAACCTGAAGCCAGCGCGTTCATCAGCAGGTGACAACACTGACTCTCCGATGCGTTTGTCAGCAGATGGCAACTTTGACTCTGCAGTGAACCCCACAGCACATAATGGCATTGTCTGTGCAGTGGGTCCCTTAGCAAATGAGGGTATTGACTCTGCAGTGAGTCTCACAGTAGATGAGGACATTAACTCTATTGTGAGTCTCAAAGCAGATTGGGATGTTGCCTGTGCAGTGAGTCTCAAAGTAGATGTAGACAATTCCTGTGGAGTCCCAAGGAAGACGAGGGCATTGACTCTGTCATGAGTGCAGCAGCAGATAGGGACATTGCCTGTGCAGCGCGGCACAAAGTAGATGAGGACATTGCCTCTGCAGGGCGTCCCAAAGCAGATGGTGGCATTGCCTGAGCAGTGCGTACCAAAATAGATGGGGGCAATGTCTATGAAGTGTGTCCCACAGTAGATGTGGTCACTGACTCCAACAGTAGAGCTGTACCAGGGTAAGTTTACTGTCATAACCCAAAACAGCTGTAACATTTAAGTTTTCTATCATTTTACAACCCTGTTTAGCGCGTGCACTACGACTATGAATAGCCATGATCAATGGATGGAGCTCCGAAATTGTGATTCACCATGGCAACAGCGCCACGGCAAAAAGACGTCCACATGCTTCCGAGTCAATACGTAACTTTAATTCTTAATCACTGTTAGGCTATAATATCAAAGGTAAAAAGTGGCAGAATGGTAAATTTGCATGGTATCCTAATCCTACAGGCAAAAGAAAAAAGAAAAGAAAAAACAAACAAACAATGCAGCTAAACATGAAGTATAAAAACATAATTCAATCAAGGTAAAGCTTTAAGCATAAAAGGTTCATGAATGTAGGTTACACGACTTCACAAGCATTTGACATATTAAATAAATATCATTCAGCTTTTTCCACATAGTCTAATGCTCTTTTCACAATTAAATGTTCTCTAATCCAAACTGTTGCATTTCTTAATAAGAGTAATGAAATTAACATTTGACTTCTACTCAGCCAACAGCAAAAAGGTTAGCAAAATAATGAAGAACAGATAAAGAGGAGATGGCCACAATAGCCTACCAAGTATTAGAAGTATATAGTATATAGGAAAAATAATAACTGTTGCTTTTGTATTTGTAGGAAATAAAGATGACCAAATAAATTTAACAGCTGTGGTGGTGGTTACGGAATATATCTCGAACTATCCTTCCATCTGGCATCCTTCTGTTCCATACAGTAATCAGTTTCATTTTCGATGGGTTTATGCTCAGAAAACTACACAAATATTATAAGAAAGAGCGTGAGAGCAAAACACACCTTCCTTACCGCTCTGCATACAGCGGCCTTACTAATGTGCTCTGCATCCCTGATGTTATATAGAAAACTACCATTTAAAAATGGTACCTCTCAAATAAATATGCATGCGGATATGGCAAAAAAGAAAAATCTAAATAATCCTCTCCCGATGTAAATGTAACTCCCTACGAATTAATGTAGCCTCCTCATCTACAGGATTCAGTATAAGAGGACATGCCGTTTTTGTCACTTTCAGAGTGTCTGCATGATGAAAATATATGCAATGAATGAATGTACCTGCACTGCAAAAAATGCTTTTCTTACTTAGTATTTTTGTCTTGTTGTTTCCAGTCAAAATATCAAAATATTCTTAATTCATATTTAATTAATTACTTAATTAATATGCATTTTCATAAGAACAATTACATACGGTATTTAGTCTTTTATGTGTATTTTTTTATTTTATTTTGCAAATTATCTGCCAATGGGGTAAGAAAAATTACCTTGTTTCCATTTGCATTAATATTATTTTTCTTGTTTTAATTAAAATGCACTTAAAGGGGTCATATGATGATGCTAAAAAGAAAATAATTTTGTGTATTTGGTGTAATGAAATGTGTTAAT